GAGCACATTTGGCCTCAATTTCCCCATCTGCAATAAAGGAATGACAGTATAGGAATTACCCAGAGCCAATTCTGTGAAGGACACAGCATTGCCATCCAAATGCTCAGAAATCATGAGCTAGATGGCAAAAACTATGATGCTGACTTTTGTCAATGAGTTAGTCATGTATTTTTAATGTTAACTACGTCCAGCTTTTTGTGCCTCTGTAGTACATATTTTCAAGCTCTCTCCTCCACAGCTGCAGGAGATTACTTCAAACCAACACATAACTAATTCTTACCCAGTCTGCTGAATTCTGGGTTGGGTGGCCTTAAGAAAACCACATGAAGTTTATATAAAAGCTTATATAAAGTCCCATTCTGTTCTTCAGCTCTGTGGAACGTGGAACGTATAAATACCTTGCCCATCACCCGAGTCCTCTGTTTAACTCTATCTTCAGCATATATCCCCTAAATGATGCGGTGAGGCAGATTGTTGCCTGGTCCATGAATTAGGAACAACCTTGTGTATCCTCCAGATTTTGCCTCTGTATCTTTTCTAAAATTTCCAGGTAAAGGCTCAAAGCCATTCTTCTAAGGCCTCCATGGACTCTGTGGTCAGTGGCTGGATAGTTCATTACATTCATACTGGCAATTCCTTGCTTGCATTTTCTCGACCAGTTTCCAGCTGTTTCTGTGTATATGAATAGAAAACATGTCCCTGTCTGTCATTTGCAGTGATAAGCTGCATCCTACAGGCTGTACACAGATGGAGTCGTGTTTACAGAGAAGGCTGAGTGTATGCCACATGCTATTAGGGCCACTTGAAACCAGGCTAATTACCTGGCAGACATGACTGCAGAGCAGCTTCTTTAATAAAAATGAATGGGGTGACAAGGGATAGACTCCTTGCTATTCTGGGACAAACTCTTTCCTCAGGCAGCAGATAGCCACAGCAGTAAGGCTCCTGATCTATCAGTTGGTTTGCTGTTTCTTGGCTGGAGAGCTTAATTAACAATTCTGGAATTGGTCTGTTTCCCAAGAATAGCCTGTAAATCAATTAAATTAAACAATAAAGGCAGATGTGGGCAAAAATAAAAATCCCACACAAGTCAGAAATGAAAAATTATGTTGCTTTGTCAATCCACAGTGGCCAATGCAGGAGTGTTCTAAAACCTTCTGAAGCTTTTCTGTCTAGTGGTTCAAGCAAGAAGGAAATGTTCCTGCGGATGCCACCATTTTTGGAACTGATGATTACTAATTACATAATTATTGCATGAATTAGTACAAACAAATACTGTGAAAACTGAGTTAAAACATATTTACAAATATTTTTTCTCTTCAAGATTTGAAAGTACAACACAAACATATGTCACACCTGTGGATTAGACTGAAAAAGACCACAAGCCTAGAAAAGCAGTGTTCTTAAGGATCTGAACTCAGTCGTCAAGAGTGCTGTGCTTCCTCGACTTCCACAGATTTGAATTGTGAAGGAGCTCAAGGCACTGTGGTGTTTGGTCTTTTACGGGGAAAGCCAAGGATAAGGTAACACTCCTACCCTCTGCCTATCATATAAACAACCAGAACACCATTTTTACTACTTCCCCTCTCATCACCATTTTGTCTTGCTAAAGCATGCCTGTTCTTAACTTTACATAGCACTTCCATTAATGTCAGTCTGCTCACAGTGAATAATGCTAAGGATACCTATATGTCTTTGTAATATTAGTGTCTTACGAGGCCATTCAAATTCAATGAATCCATGTGCAGGAATAACATGATCAGAATTTGATTCCATTGCAGTGTAACTATTTCAAATGAAGTAATTATTCTATAAAAATGCAGAGTATTTTTTCTTCAAAAATTATAACCAGGAGTTACTAATAATGCCAAACCCCATCTTGTGTTGATGGCAATCAATTGCAGGAGAATTTCTAAATATCAGAAAGAATGTGCTCATCTAAACTATCACTCGTGTTAAGATGGCCAGTGAAACCATTTTATTACTGCAGTTAGTTGGAAAGAGCAGTATTCTGCAAAAATCAGATAATGTACTTATTTCTAAAAGCCTGGAACAAAAGAGCCAGTAGAGATTTGCTGAGTAGTTGCAAGATAGCCATTAAATATAAATATTTTTAAAAACAATTTACTCTTTCCTAATGCTTTTAGAGTAGCATGTGGGAACAGAGTCTAAGTAAGTGCAGCATCGTACTGCATTAAAAAGGACACGATGAAGGTTATTGGGCTCCAGATTTAACCCTTCTATCTCTTAACTGCTCATAACAGTTCTTAAACTATATAAACTATGTGAGTTTATATAAAACCCATTTTTCCTAGTGGTCACAATATAAGTTTATATTTTTGAAGCAACTATTACCAATGATCCACATTTTTCACATTCCTATAGAAACAAACTATTTTTAATGGTGAATTCAAGTTTCAGTTTCCATTCCTCAAATTAAAAATAGCAGCATAACTGGAAATTGCTTTCTCTTCATCCTGAGTATGCATTGTCGATGGAAAAGAGAATTGCTTTGTGGGGCTGTATATGTATAAATGATACGGGTATTTATATCACTGACTTGAATGAAAATATGTAGGCCAGTTAGAAAGAAAAGGGGCTGATTTTTGCTCCAAACTATCCAGGTCTTGCTCCAGTATAAGGAATAACAGAATTTAATTATGCTACTCAGGCAGCGAAGTGTCATTCAACGCCTTGATCCCAGCAGTGCACCTGACAGAGTACAGCCCATTGCTACTACACGGGAGACAGATTGACTGAACCATGAGACCACTTCTCATAACAGAGGGACAACGACAAGGCTGACACTACTGAAAATGGCCTTTGCAAGGTGGCTTTCATGCTTACATCATTCTGAAGCAGACCTGCAGCAACTGCATTGCATAGCACTTGGCCTGGGCTTCCTCTAGCTCCATACAGCACCTTCATGGCCCAAAGGCCCAGAGATAAAAGTGTTGACTTTTTGTTGCAGCAGTTTTTCAGTTCAAAGTACCCGAAATAACAGGCAGGCCTGCCAGCAGTGTGGTTTTTAGCACGATGCTGAGAATGCTCAGGAGTGTTAAGCAAGGCCTATGGGGATAGTATTAGGGTGCTGTAAAGGGCTGAGTGAGCCAAAGCTCACGCGGACTCATCCATACTGCCTAGGAGTAATTGATCTCTGGAGAGAACTGCCCCAGGATTTTACTGGGTATTTGGTTCACTCCAGAGAACTGAGGAATGAACTGACACTCATATGGACAGGGAACCAAGGACACAGGAAAAAAACATACCTTAAAAAAATCCTTCTTGATTCATGATACTTCCACATTTGGAGTTTTAGTAGCTTTAGGTAGGATTAAACTGATCTTACTTAAGACATCTGGTCCCTTCCAGGCCAAACCATTCTATGATTCTATGATATGAGCTAAGCACTTTAGGCTACTTTTACTGTCAACAAAGAAAAAAAGGCCCATCCATTCCGTAATTCACCTGGTCTTTCTTCGATGCCTATTTAAGGATGAAATGGATAAGCCTGCATGATTTGGCTATGTGGAACTTCAGAAAAAATGTCTTTGCCAAGAGGCCATCCCATGTTGATCACCATGGATTGATACCGAGGCTCATATCATTATCATCATCAATAATACATCCTCAGCAAATTTGCAGATGATGCAAAATTGGGGGAATGGCTGACATGCTGAAAGGCCTGGCTTCAATTCAGAAAAACCATAATCTAACAAGAAATGCAAGCTTCTGCACCTGGGGAAGAATAACCCCAAGCACCAGTACAGGCTAGAAGCTGACTGGCAGAGCAGCAGTCTTGCTGAAACCAGGCTTACAGTGGATGCCCAACTGAATATGAGCCAACAGTGCACTCTCATCACAAATAAGACAAAATGCATACTGAGCAATACTGACTGGCTGAAGGTGGCCAGCAGACAGAGGGAATGTTTTGTTCTCCTCTGTTCAGCACTGGTGAGGCCACATTTGAAATACAGACGTTTTGGCACAACCAGTACAAAAGGTATATGGAGAAACTGGAACTGGTCCACTGGAGGGCTACCAAGCTGGTTACCTAGAGAACATGACCTACAAGGAGACTGGAAGAAGCTGGACTTGTTCAGTCTGGCACAGAGGAGTCTAAGTGTGGTCTAAATGCAGCCTGTGGCTGCTCGAAGACCATTACAAAGATAATGGAGGTGAAGTTTTCTCAGTAATGTCAGATAATGTAACAAGGGGCAATGGCCAAAAAAATGCTGTTTTGAGGCTCAGACTGGACATTAAGAAAACATATTTCACCAGGAGGATTGCATAGCGCTGTAACAGATTACCCAGAGGAGCAGCTGAATCCCTGTTGTTAGAGGTTGTCAAGACCATAGATCCATGGCTGAACTGCTCCAGTGTCGGTAAAAGCCCAGCTTTGAGCACAAGGATGGACTTTCCAACTAACACATCTAAGATTCTGTGATAAGCTGAAGACATACAGGCTCAAAATTACAGCTGGGTCAAAACACTGCCAGGTGAGAATCTCTGCTGAAGCCCACAGGCAGTGGCTTTTGCAGTGTGCCCTTTGTGAAACTAAACACCCCCAAGCCATGCTCAGCCTTGCTGGAGTCAACAGCAAAATTCTCTAGAGCTGGGACAAGTGCTTGAACTGATGGTGGAAAAACAGGATTTTCTGAGGGAGACAAACTAGTAATACATACAGTTCACAAGCAGATATATTCATGAGGAGCAATGGACTACTGTTGCAGGCTTTTGTTTGTAACACAAACAGTACTGGAATCCATTATAAAATGTACTACCATCATCTCTGGAATGTGTCCAAGCCTTTTAATTCTGTATTAATAACAATAAATGGAAGTTCTCATCCAGAACTATGGGGACAGTTACTGAACAGGGTGATCTGAGCTCTCTCCCAGTTCCTGTGATTCCCTAAGTAACCTGGGACGTACTAAACTGATTTTTGCAGCACACAGCTCCCTCTAAAACCCTAGATTAAATTAATTGCCAAAAAAACCCATCTGGTTTGATTTTTCTTAACATTTATTATATACTTAGAATAAATTTATTGTGTCTTTGGCATATATAAGAAGAAAAATTTAACTTTCAGTAAGAACAAAATACAGTTCCCAAAGGCAACTAAGTGAAGAATCATAAAGCACAGCTAAGGTTAGCTTAGGAACAAGATTCATTTCTTCTCATCCTGAGAGTGTGACCAGACAGGCTTACGTTTCTGAATAAAGGCTTCAATACCTTCCTGCCCATCTCTCAAAGTCAAATTGTCTACCATGACCTGAGTAGTCATTTTGTAAGCAGCATCGAGGTCCTGCGTCATCTGTCTGTAAAAGGTGGCCTTCCCCAATGCCAGGACAGATTTGCTGCTTTCGCATATCTTGTGAGAGATTTTCATGGTCTCTTCTTCCAGCTTGTCTTCTGGTACCACCTTGCTGACAAGCCCGTGCATTAATGCTTCTTGGGCAGAAAGAGCTTCACCCGTGAAAAGCATCTCTAATGCCACCTGAACAAGAAAAAATATTGTATTAAGTCAGTTCAGCTGCTTTATTGCTTTGGTCTGCTTGGGGAATTTCAGCCGCCTCCTTCAATTACAAGTTACTTTTTTGACAAACCTAAGAGTTAAATCTTTTGGCCTCTTAAACTGCCAAGAACTGTTAAGAGGTTTCAGCAAAGAGAAGGACTGGGTCTAAAGCTGGCCTTTTTTCAAACCTGCTTGCTGATTCCAGCTGTCCTAGGCTGACAGCTCTGGGTTTCTTTTCAACAGCCCACAATCTCTAGTGATTGCAGTAGGAATTAAGAGAGATGTGGATGGTCCACAATGTCAAATGACTGAACCCAGTATTTTAAGCTGGGCATATAATAATAAATAAAGACTTACTACGTCAATGTGTAGTTTTTGAAAATACCTGCCTTACTTTTAAGTTTGGTCGGGGTGTTTTTAAATATGTCCTTCTTATAGCTGCATCTATTTCAGTCTCTTGCTGCTTCCAGCATCCTGTACTTGAGGTTTCAAATTAAAAAAAAACCACAAATACTGAGTGACTATTCAATGTTATATATCAGTAAGAATTTTCTTCCATGACTTCTGATGCAATTGACCAATGCCATGAATCATAAGAGCTGATTATCCTCATTAGCATCTTTGCTCTGGTACCTACAAACAATGGCAACATTTCATTTGATAAAAGGTAAAACCCAAGAACTGTAGTGAATGTTCTTGCTACTTTGAAAAGTGGCACAGAAAAAAGTATATCCCATATATTTAAGAAAAGTAATCACAAACCCAAGGAATACTAATTCAGAAACAGTTATAACTGTACACTACAGCACACTTGGGGACAAAAGCCACAGACAGACTGTATTTGAACAGGATAGCCTTACAGATAGGAAATTTAAAGTTGAAGCTCTTCCCCAGCAATTGGACTTGTGCAGTTAAGTCACTGCATCTCAGCAGAGCCCTGCTGGGCTTGAAGAGTCTGTCCGCATAAATCCAACTGGATCAGAACTTAGAATTTCTTTTCTCAATTATGGAAGCTTTACAGATAATACTATTGTTTATGCAGTGAGAGATGTGTAGTCACAATCAGTAGGAAATAAAGCAGGAAGAAAGTATAGGAGGGTTTTAGATGCTATTTAAAGCATCTTGATCTACACCCAGGTACATCATGCTGGCAGTGAAATGTCACTGCCTGGCAAGAATTGATACCGCCGTGGGACTGATATCCTGAACTAGCAGGGGTTTCCTCATCAGGGGAGAACATCATTGTCTAAAGCACAGAGCTGTCTGTTGGAAAGGAAAGGGATCACTGAGCTGGTGCGCTGCTGGTATGAGTTCATGCTGGTTGGAATTGCATCAGTATGAAACTGCTTTCCCTAAACAGAATTCATCCCTTTATTATTTTTCCCAGTCCAAAGAGTTATGAAGATGTCTTTTGCAACAAAGTATTTGGAATGTTGTTCTGCACAAAAATAAAGTTTAGGCAATGGAACTAAAACTCCTAACATGGGAACCTACTTCTTGCAAAATTACAAAGAGTATCTGGGAAGGAAGCCTACCTTTCTTGGAAGAGATCTGCCCAAGGCCACAGCTGGTGTGGAGCAAAACAGACCAATGTTTACTCCAGGAGTAGCAAATTGAGATTTCTCACTTGCCACTGCGATGTCACAGCTTGCCACAAGCTGACAGCCTGCTGCTGTAGCCAAGCCATTTACTTTGGCAATCACTGGTACTGGAAGTTTCTGGATTAAAGTCATAACCTGCATGCACAAAAGAAAGTGGTCAGTTAGTCCTGAAATTTAAGCAGTGGCTGTTCTAAAACTTGCAATTGCTTCACACACCTGATGTGTACATTTTTCAGCTTTATTAATTGGAGTTTAGTAAAAGAAACAAGCTCTGTGCAAAATCTGTTCTAATGCACAAGACCCCCGCTGTTCCAGTATCTGCTCAGTTCTGTTTATGTACCATGAGTTGGTCCTGCTAACTCCAGTGGAAATGGAAACCACAAGAATGAAAGGCAGAAACACTTGTTATCAGACCTGCATGGAGCTTCGGTGCCTCTGCACTGCAGGTCTAGTGTTCCTGCCTATGGGAAGACGTGTATCCAAGACACACCATCCCCACCTTCATTTGCCCCATAATGGAAAACTGACTTAATAAAAGTCTCTGTCCCAAGAAATTAAAGCAGCCTCTTGCTGGTTTCTGCATGAACTTGAGCCTGGGTTGATCTCGCCCAAACACAATCACTGGATGTCCTTCTAGGCTTACTCTGCATTCCCAGGAAAGACCTGCCAGTAAACAATTTTTCCTGCTTGCATTAGACATAAGATGGGAAAACACACTCATTCTCTCTCTCTCTGATAATTCTTGAAGATTGGACATCCAACTTCAGATAGCTGAAGTTAAGAAAGATGAATTTGTCTTAACTTTTCTAACTCAGGTTCTCCTTCCATACAGCAGGAATCAACAAACTTGCCTAATTTTAATGCCTGAAGATAGAAAATGCTAGTTAAATGATTACAGTCATTATCCAGATTTAAAAAAAAAAAATCTCATATTAGCACATTGTAGCAAGGTAACAAATTTTCATTTGCTACTTCAATTTCTTCAGTAGATGAAGTCTAGCAAATTTCATGTTGCTTAGGTAAAATTACCTACATTCAGTTTTGAATTTGATCGGTCTTTGCCTCCGTTCTTCTATCTTTGTTTAAAAATGATTTTTCAGTGGATCTTGAGAAGCAGACAACAAAAGAGTAACAATACATGCACGTCTGCAGACAAATAGCTATAGATTACTCTTGTAGTTATAAAAATTCAAAGTCAACTGCTTCTCCGAAAAAAACCCCTGGTACTTGTGGTTTTGTATTTGAAAAGCATCTGGAGAAGTGATATTCTCAGCTGTCTCAAATGTGTATGTGGCAAGTACTTAGTTCTCGGCTACTGCATTATATAGTATTGCTAACACTGTTATATGCATGGGGAAACAGAGGTGTAGCAGCTGAGATGATCTGCCTAAGATTACCAGTCATAGACAGATGTAGAAGCCAAAGTTCCTGAAAACCAGTCCAATGTTCTGGACCCCCTAGTCAACAATGCTGTAGGCATGTCATTCAGGGTATGATCCATTCTACTTAAGTACTGAAATTTAGGAAGACACGACCCTGTTTTGGAAGCCCTCAAAAGCACCTTTCTCTCTCTATTGACCAAAAAAAAGCCCAAGTCAATTATTCTACCAGATAACTAAAATTTAGATATTAGTTAGGATCCTAAATAAAGCCTAAATTGATTTCTCTATTTCTGTTTCCCTGTAAAGTGCCATTATTATTTAACAGTAAGACCTTCTTCCTCCATGGGGATAATAGTGAGTCATGATTTAGAAGAAAATTAAATCCTTTTAGGATACTCAGATAGAGAGTTTAAAGCACTTATCACTACCATGAGCATCAGAAAAGAGATCACTTCAAGTGTCATTTCTTCTACTTAATTTCTTCCTGAACTTGCTTTGCCAATTTCACAGAAGCATTTAGGTTGACAGTGACCTCTTGAGGTCATCGAGTCCAACTCCCCTACTCAAGCAGGCTCGGATAAAACAGGTTGTCCAGGATTGTGTCCAGTTGGGTTTTGAGTATCTCCCTATCTCTGAATTTCATGGTCTCAGGAATATTCATCTAAAATCGGTATACCATTTTTTATCGGTAATAATGGTCCCTTACTAAACTTACTATACAGTAGGGCACCATTCTCACAAAGAAAGCTAGGCTTGTTTTTAACTCTAAATGCTGACATTCTGTTATTTTTTGCTATTTCTCTTTATTAATCAAAGTTAAGCTTGCTATAGTACTCATTAATCCTGAATATAGCCACAATGCTCGATATATATACAGGACAATTTAAATTCTCCTGGTCCTTGAAGTGAGAAATTTACCAACTCTTGATTTCATGCTCTATGGAATAAGTTTCATGTTTTTTCTGCCTGACCTTTCCTATTCTGTGACCCAGAAGCTGCATGGTTCAGTTTTCCACTGACGACATACTGCTATTGTGCCCTGCAACTGCAAAATTCATATTCAGCTATTCACTGCTAAACTATTGGACCTTGGCTCCTTTCTGAGGAAGGGACTAACCTGTCATTCAGTCATATTTGTGCTTACCTATTTGTGATCAGCATACCAAGATGAAATCCAGGCAAAGCTGCCAGGATGATTCCTTCATGTTACACTGAAGGCCCTTCCGCGGTAACTTTCACACATGGCTTTTACAGCATTTGTTAAATATGGGCTTGACAATGGGTATAAGAGATCATTATTACTGGAGGAACTAGAACAAAAGGCTTCAAATTACTTTCTGTGGTCACACTGAGCAGGATTAGGGGTCAAATTCCAGCACCATTACAATCAAAGGGGTTTTTGCCATTCTCTCCAAAGGCTCCAGGATGTACTATAACTTTCCAACCTCCAGGTCTGTGCCTTTGTAACAAGAACTTGTATGGTCTGCTGTCCTTGTTTCAGCTGGAATAAAGTGTATTTTCTTTCTAGTAGCTGGTATAGTGCTGTGTTTTGGATTTAGGGTGGAATAATGTTGATAACACACTGAATTTTTAGTTGTTGCTAAGCAGTGCTTACAACAAAAGTCAAGGACTTTTCAGCTTTTCATACTGCCCAGCCAGCAGAGGCTGCGAGTGCACAAGAAACTGGGTGGGGACTCAGCCAGGACAGCTGACCTAAACTGGCCGACGGGATATTCCATACCACGTGACATCATGCCCAGTATATAAACTGGGGGAGTTGGCTGGGAGGCACCCCAGCTTGGGGATTGGCTCGTCAGTGGTCAGCTGGTGGTAAGCAATTGTATTGTGCATCACTTGTTCTGTATATTCTATTATTATTACTATTATTATTATTTCTCCTTCCTTTTCTGTCCTATTAAACTGTCTTTATCTCAATCCATGAGATTTGTTTTTTTTTTTTCTTTCCGATTCTCTCCCCCATCCCACCAGGTGGGGGAGAGTGAGCAAGCAGCTGCATGGTTCTTAGTTGCTGGCTGGGGTTAAAGCACGACATCTGCTGACTGGGCAACCAGCAAGTCAGATCTTACTTTCACGTTGTCTAATTGATGTTTAAGCTGGTCTTGAATTATTAGCTAGATGCTGGGAAAGAACATTTGATCACAAGTGGTTTGAAGGTGATTATCCCTAGATTTCTAGGAAAGACATTGCCCAAATACTCAGCTGCAAGAACACTGGCTAAACTAAGGAACATGACTAGGAGACATGCACATTGGCATTCTAGCTATTTTATTTATCCCCTAGAGAAATCCAGGGAAAACATATTTCACCAGGATCAGGTATTAAAATGGCAAAGCAGCAAAAAGCAAAGAATCTGGAGCAACAGTCTGTGCTTTAGCTAGTAGATGAGTAATGCTGTCCCTCCTTAAACAAGTGTCATTGCTTGCTCTTAATACCAGGCAAAAGGAGTGGCACTTAAGACGAACTGCTTACCTCTGCACATACTTCAAATACTTGGGAATGATGCTTCATGTCGTCTTCACTTGACAGTTCCTTTAAATCATGGCCAGAACAAAATACAGGTCCTTCAGCTGCAAAGAATTTCAGGACAAGTCAGTTGGAGTTAATCAAGAAACCAGGGGTAGCGGCATATCAATTACCCAGCTAAAGGTATGTCAACGGTCAAAAAGGTGCTTGGGGAGGGAGTTTTATACAGAGTTCCAAAATATTGTCTTTTGGGTTTTGTAACAACTTTAAATTGCCACAATGCAACATTTAACCACAGTAACATCCATAAACATTTTTAAAGGTGTAGTTTTACTTTCATTCCAAGTTAACTCTGTTAAAAATAAGGCACTTCACACCTCTAAGACCAGTTTCTTGTAAGGATACTGTTCTGAACAGCTCCTTGGTACAATGTATACTAGTCAGCTGGAGCAAGGATGGAGTACTCTGCTCTCAGACTATTAAATACAGTTAGTCCCTATTTATTGCACCTAGCATTAATGATCAACTTTTGCTAAGTAAGCATCAAGGTTTTTGTGTCATGGCATTCAAGGCCACAATGGAAAAAACAAAGATTGTTCTGCTAGAGGAGAATCAGAAGGGTTATTGGGGCATCTTTTCCTCCACTGCTAAAACTGTCACCTAGAGAATGCCAAAAAGCATGTCCAGGGTTTGGGCAGCAGCAGAGCAGGTTTCTGTGGACCTAAGCTTTGGATTTGCTTGCCTCCAGTGGCAGCAAAGATCAAAACAGCCTTTATGGGTTCACTATCTTTACAAGTTTTCCTTTGTCATCAGGATATCTGCCATAAGAATAAACCAATTTGATGCTTTTGAATCCTTCAGAACTTCTAAGGTATTTGTATGGACGTGAAATTTCCAGCTACAACTATGCAGACACAACCTTACCTATGCATTTGTTTCTTACAGATCAGATTATTGCGACTCAGTCTATCCAGAAATAACCACATGATTAACATCAGTCAGCTCATGGGATCAGCAATACATATCTGGAAATTAATCACATCTGCATTTATGCATCATTGATGAAGAATCCACTGCAAAGTCTGTGTTAAAGACCCAAAGCATTCCCTGAGAAGTCTTTTATTTTCTTGAGATTTCTCCTTTTGCATTCCATTTAGCAAGAGAATTGGAAATCAACAGGAACATGTAATTTCTTTTTAAACTAAAACAAAAAAAACAAATGAATTTGTGCTCACAAACTCCCAGACTACTGTACTGCCAAGGAAGAACCTGAAGTGTTTCACAAAAACTGTAACTGCTGTTTGAAACGTTTAATATATATTTAAACTCATCCCTGTGAAGTTAACATACTTCCACTCTCACGTGCGTGCACTAACACACAGTGTTTTCCTCTACGTACAGGAAACAGCAGCATCCTAAATTAATAGACCTGTTTCTCCAAGAGGTTGCAAGGGGGGGAGGGGAAGGTTATCTTAAAATAGCAGAGGAAAAAAAGATGGCTTAAGAACAGCTCAAGTTTCATTATCTTTAAGAACTCTACAGGTTAATACCTAAATGGAAGAAAACTGTAATAGGCTCTGAGAGAGAATGTTTTACATCTGCAGGTTAGAGGTAACTGCAGTATCCATATTATGCTCTCTCCTTCACCGGGGAGTTTTAAAAACAGTTTTGACAAACCAGTGGCAAAAATAACAAGGCTGATCCAGGCTTAGAGCAGGGGAACAGAGTTCACAATTTGAAGGAACCTTTGTGAGCCCCGTTTACTACAATCTATACCTGCCACTGAAGGCAACAATTCTCATACCAGCTCAGCCTGTTCCTGCACAAAAGCCCGCATCTGGGAATGTTACTTCTTTGGTTTGATAAAACCAGTTAGAACCTGGCTTTTGTTCTGTTTAAAGTATTCTTTACATATAGTTTTTAAACCAATTATTTCATCTACTGATTGTTTTTACAAAAGGAAAAAGCTCCTTATCGACTCTGTAAACACGCTGCACAACCTGACTGAAATACGGACATTTTGAAAGGTGTTTCTACAGTGTTTCTGCTTAGACACGTTAACTATTAACAAAAACGCAACAAAACCCAAGTCAGTTGTTAACGCCGCATTCAAGAATGAGGAATTAAGCGCGTGAGACTGGAAATTGGGACGAGGACAGAAGAAGGGCAGGAGCGCCAGGCCTGAAGGGCGAGGGCACCCGTTAGGATGCCCTGCGTCGTCCTGGCCAGCTCCACGCAAATCAACACCCAAGTCCCTTCCCGCCCCATTTTCCGTGATTCTGTGAGAGATTTCGGTTTAAGCTCCGTACTATCCCGTTTCTGCTCCTTCCCTCGCCCCCCCTTCTCTTCGTGACAGAAGTACCTGAAATGATGATCACTCGGAGGTCTTTGCTTTTGACGTCGTGCAGCAGGTCCTCCCTGAGGGACTGCAGCATGGAGAGGGACAGGGCGTTTCTCTTCCTCGGGTTGTTCAAGATAATGTTTCTGCAAAAGCCGTGAAACGCGGAGAGGGTCACTACAACAAACAACAAACGCCTTCAGCGCCTCACGGACGGGCCCGCAGCGGTTGCACCCCCCCCACCGCCTCCCGCCTCACCGGACGCCCTCCGCCTGCCGCCGGACCGTCAGCTTCTCCGGCGGGGGGGGCGGCCGCCCGCTTTCCCCCGCCGCCGCCCCGCCGGAAGGG